AAATTTGTGCATTATTTAGCGCAACTAACATTGGTTGCAGGCATGCTGCAGAATGACTTAGTGCATTGCTGGAGGAAGGATCAAAGATTTAAAAACCTGGTCCCTAATCTAAGAGAGCATTATTAATTGCCCACCAGTGTCCACCAGCGTGCACTCTCTGTGTGTATGTGTGTGTGTGTGTGTGTGCATTATCTCTTGAAGTTGCCCTGCTCTCTGGTGTGGCCATCTGGCCTCTGCAGTTAGCCTGTGACAGCTCCCTCCTTGTGGCATCTGAGCTAGGCCACCTGGGACAACCCAGCTCTGCAACTTCTGTGTCATCACTACTGCTACTGAGCCTGATTCTGGCTGGGTCTGGGGACCCAGTGGACTGGGAATAGACTGTGTTTCAATTGTTTTCCAGGACACTGTGCAGGCAAAAGAGTGAGGATAAAAGGAGGTGAGGAAGGGGAGGTGAGTGGCCAGGGAGTCAAGCTTAGGGTAGACAGCTCCTGGGCCCAGTGAGGGAGAAAGGAATGAGTTACCGTCATCCTTCCCCCACATAGGCACCCGCTGTCTAGGAGGCCTGGAGAGCCCCGGGTTCATCCTCTTCTAGAGACTTTTCACCCCAACGCATGTCTATGTGTAGGTTCTGGTGCCTCCTCTGTGCTCCCCGGACAGTGATCTGTGCTCCCAAACCTGGAAGATACGGGTGCTCAAAAACCTGAAATGGCATTGCCACAGGAAGGGATGTTAGAAACCGTTTACCTGAGTGTTTCCAAAATGTGCTTCGAGGACCACTTGGTCCATGAGCTCCTAGCAGGTATCCTGTGGGCAAATGGGGTCTTTGGGTCAACATGCCTGGGAAAGGTTGTGTGCACTGCTTCCCTCCCACCAGAGCCAGCATCCACACTGGGTCAGTGAAGACGCTGAGGAACCTGCACTGCTTTCACTTTGCACGATACATCGTTTTCTAAACTGACTTGCGCATATTTGTTGGGACTGTTTATTGCCATCTTTGCCACGCTGCTGTTCTGAAGATCATTGTTGGCCATGCAGATACAGTCAAGCCCTTTGTTTCATAGATGAAGGCCTGCGAGCTTGGGTCACCAGGGAAAGTTCTCACTTTTGGACCAGGCTTCTGCCGTCACTGCTTCTGTGAGCTCCCAGCTCATCTCCCCCACCACGGCCCCAGGACTGCCAGCTCCTCTGGCAGGTGGACCTCCCACTGAGCTCACATTCCCCATAATCCTCCCAGGGAGATCTTTGAGAACTTTCTGCCAACCCCCAGGTGGAGATGGTGCAGCCTCAAGAAGCCGCAGCCCCAGGGAGTACCTAGGTGACCCCAGCACCTGGCGTGCAGTCTTTAACCTCACAGCTGCTGGTCCTTGGAGTGACAGCTGAGCTGTTGGAAATCTTGGAAAAACTCGCCTGGAAGGGAATGGTTAACCAGTTCATCTCTTTCTGTTACTCTGTTATTTTGAATTATGGCTACTCCTCAGGAAGTGTGCAGAAGTAGTGCAATGTGGAATGTTTGTTTACCGCTGCACGCAGTTGACGCTGGAAGATAGGGAGGTCTGAGCACTTGACCCTCAACGCTTGGAGTCAGGCACAACAGAGGTGCCATTATCAGCAACATTTCCACATAAGGGAGGAGAACACGGAGGCCAGAGGGGTCAACCAAGTTGTTCAAGGTCCTGGGACCAGGAAAGGGGAGCTGGGACCCAAAGCCAGGAAATAGAGCTCTGCACCACGGGGTATCATGGTCACTGTGACTGGAAGGACGAGATTCACTCATATTTTTGGATCAGGTCCATTTGTTCTCATACTGCACCTTGGAAAATCAACACTTCAGCCGGTGCCCTGGCTGCTGGGACAGGCTATTTCTAGAGGGACATTTCACCCTTCCTTTTGTTTCATGCAGCTGGTGCTCCTGTAAGGAAAGGAAAGCTGGTCACTGTCCTTCCTCCCTTGGCAGGCTTGGGAGCCGCCTGTACTGGCTGTGCTTTCTGAGAGCTGGCCCCAACAGGAGCCAGAAATGAACTGTCCAGGCCCCGTCAGAGAACATAACATTGCACAGGTGAAAAGCAAGCCCTGGGTGGCGTTTATCTTTCCCCAGACAACTATAGTAATACTGTTGGACTCTGAATGCTCGGTTACATTTCAAATTTATTTCCAATCGTTTTGAGCTGGATCAATGGGAGACAAAGGTACCTTTTAGCTCCGGCACCTGCTGTTCCCCCCAAATGTCAAGGACTGACATTTGATGCCATTATCCCCAGTCAGCACACAGATGACTTATTTCCTTGCTTCCCCAGCCCCCGGGTACCCCGGCACCCCCTCTCCCTCAACAAGGACTTTCTTGCCAGTGAGCTGATACCGTCCTGCACTACCCAGGGGGCCCCGTGTGCCCAGATTTTCTCCCACCTCCGCGAAGCAAAGGGTGACCTCTGGGGTGGCCACCGCCTCCCTGGGTCCCTGGGAGAGGCCTCTTGCAGCGCGAGTCCTCCTCCATTCCTCCCTGGGCAGGTACCTAGTGTTTCCAGGTGCCTATCTCGGGAAGGAGCAAGTGCTGTCTGTCTCTGCCTGGTGGTATCAGTAGGGGTGCTGCTGGGCGATGGGGTATGTTTTTCCCGATGGAGCTGGAGGAGGCATTCAGGGAAGTGAAGTCTGTTGTCCCTCAAATAAAGTACTCCTTTCTGCTATTGTCACCAGCATCTTGGAGGGCAGGGTCGCCCTGCAGGGCTGCATCTGCACTCTCAGCAAACTCCGTGCCCTTGGCCTCATTGGTGTGGTACGTGCCCTTGTGCCGGTACATGTAGTGCAGCAAGACGAAGAGGAGGCAGACTAGGACGATGACCACAACAGCAATCACGACTGCAGGTGGGAAGAGGTGCAAGGGTCAGTCTGAGGCAGAGGCCCTGGGATCTGGGATGGGGGTCAAGACCCACAGGGGTTGTGTGAGGACAGATATGCTGCCACAACCAAAACAGGTGCTCCTTGATTTATGATGGGGGCCAGGTTCCTGTAAGCCCATAATAAGTTAAAAATATTGTAAACGAAAATTACATTTAATACTCCAAACCTACTGAGCATCAAAGCCTGGCCTAGCCTACCTTAAGCAGACTCAGAACACTTACATTAATCTAAAGTTGTGCAAAATCATCTGACCCATATTTTATAATGTAGTGCATCATACTATATATTGCCAGCCTGGGAAATGGTCTAAGTTCAAAATTCAAAGTATGGTTCCTACTGAATGCGTTTACGTTCATGCCATTGCAAACTCAAGAACTCATAAGTTGAACGATTGTACATCGGAGACAACTGTGCCAAAGCCAGACAGGCCAGTTCATTCCTTCCCCATGCTTCACCAGCCTGTTGTATGCTGGCCCTGTAACCTGTGCCTTCCTAAAATGATCCTCCTCTCCCCTTCTCTCGTCTCCTTCCTTCCCTCCCTCCTCTTTTTCTTCCCCACAATTCTGCTACTAAGCATTCTGCAGACAGTCTAGAATCATACCCCAGGACTGAACTTTGTTTGGATATTTTTAATTATAAAACCAGGAAAGTCCCAGAAAACAGGGCAGAGTTGGTTGCTCTATGTACACTATACAGGGGGAAAAAAGATGAGGCTATTAACTGTGCTTGGGACAGGTTGTGTGGTTTGTGTTTTTCAATGGCCTGATGGCTGCTCCTCACCCTACCCTGCTCCCATTCCCTCCTGGGGAGTGAGGACTGCAGCGAATCTGCAGGAGGAGCAGGACTTGGCCACACAAAGGACTGAAGTGGGAGAGGGTAACGCAGAGGATGGCAAGGTGCTGGCTATGTGTGGGTGGGGGAGCAGTCACCCCTCACTTCTGCTGGGACTCCAGAGGGATGGGGAAGTACAGTGTGAGGCGACTGAGGAGGGGTCAGATCACTCAGGGCCTTGAGAGTGATAGGGCAGCAGTCTCATGGGGCCGGGCTGTTTTGAGTTTGGGTATTTACTTTTAAATTGCAGAACAGTTCTCTGACTTTTCTTAGAATGCAGGTTTCTTTGGAGGCCTTGGGGAGGGACTGCTAAAGAATATGGAAAGTCTGAAACTGCTCCCAAGTCCCACCTTTATAGAACAATTTCCTAAACTTCCTACTGCCTTCAGGGGTACAATTCTGTCTGCATAATGTTAATAATACCATCTAATTAGCCGGGTGTGGTGGCAGGCACCTGTAGTCCCAGCTACTCAGGAGGCTGAGGCAGGAGAATGGCGTGAATCCAGGAGGCGGAGCTTGCAGTGAGCTGAGATAGCACCACTGCACTCCAGCCTGGGTGACAGACTGAGACTTCGTCTCAAGAAAAAAAAAAAAAAGCTCAGTGGTGCAATGAGTTGGAGAATGCCAGGGTACACAGAGTCCAATGGGTGTCTTTGACTGCTTGCTGCTGCTGCTTTTTCTTTCTTTTTAAATTGTACATGTTTCCTGAGTTATTAATAAGCTGCTGAGAAGTGTGGATCTGAAAGAAGGTCACAGAGCACACAGCACCTCCCAAACTTGGTTGTTCTTGAAACATGGTTTGCAGTCACAGCCATGACCCACGGGGATCCACTTGCTCATGGTTCAAAGCAAGGCAATGGCAGACTCAAGTTTCCTTGAGGATGGAGGGTTGGGGTACATGGACCCAGGGCAGAAAATGATGTGGGATGAGGGAGATGGTGGAGAAGTGTAAGTAGCCTGGTCCGTCTACCCTCATCCCACCTCCACCCTCAACCTCCCTCACCAAAACTGCTGTCTCTCCAGCCCCTGAGTTCCTGTGAGTCAACAGCCCTGAGGAAGGCTGATAAAATATATATACAGATATGTACCATGTACGTATGTATGTATATTTACCCAGGACTAGACTCCTCCATTTCACATACAAAACCACCTCTGAAGGAGAGAAAAAATGGCCACAGCCACCCCTGCCCAAGTCCTTAGGTCAGTTCTACCTGGATGTTTTCACCAAGGCCCCCCACCCTGGCTGCTTGAAGGGCTCTGTGACAACAGCTCACCTGCAATGATGGCAATGTCCGTTGTGGTGAGGGCATGGGTCACCCCTGGATAAGGCCCTGTGAACAGAGGACAAGAATCTGAGGTCAGACAGGAAGATTCTCCATGCCTAGCAGCACCTTATCCCAAGCTGCATCCTTTGCTCAGGTGTGAGCAGCTCTGTGAATGGGCCCAAGTAGACAGGAGCAGTGTGGTGCACCCACCGAATCCTAGCAGGGGTGCACAGACCAGGAACCAGGTTCTGCCTGGTCTGGGATGGAACTCAGGGTACTCCAGGCCCATTCGAGTTCTCTGCTGTATGCCTGCACTGAGGGTGGTGCCTCCACCTGGTAGATGCTCAACAGTTATCTGTGGTGTGTATGAAGGCAGGGACTCTTGTTATGTTTATGACAGAATGTTTGTGGAGTATCTGATGCTTACACCAGGGGTCTCAGTCCACTTTGTGTTGCTATAGTGGAATACTTGGGTAATTTATAAAGAAGAGAGGTTTATTTGGCTCACAGTTCTAGTGGCTGGGAAGTCCAAATTGAGCAGCTGCATCTGGTAAGCGCCTCATACTGTTCCTACTCGTGGCAAAAAGCAGAAGGGGAGCAGACATTTGCAAAGAGACCACAAGGTGATACAGAAAGCAAGAGAGTTTAAAAAGCTGAATTTGCTTTTATAACAACCTGATCTCAGGTAACTAATCCAGTCTCATGACAGAAAGAACTCCCTTCCTTCCTCAAGGGAGTATAATCTATGCATGAGGGATCTGTCCCTATGACTCAAATATCTCCCACCAGGTCCCACCTCCCATCACTGCCACATTGGGAATCAAATTTCAACGTGAGGCTTTTGCAGGGTCAAACCACATCCAAACCATAGCACCAGGTGTTGCTTTAGTTGTCTTCTATCTACTGTATCATGCAGTCTTCACAGCCATCCTATGAGGTGCCTGGTGTTGTTGGCCCATGTCACAGGAAGAACACCAAGGCTCAGAGATGTGATGTGCCCATCATCACACAGCTCATCCAGTGTCAGGTCAGGACTTAGCCAGTGCTCTTGCCTCTGGAGTACACGTTCTGTCTTGGAGAAGCCCTTCCCAGAGCTCCTGTCTGAGGAGTCGTTCCTGAAGCCCCCTCATAGGTCTTTCTATTGACTCTCCTGTGGGAAGGACCACTGTATGACACTATCCAAGTTACTGTGTGCGTTTTTTCACGGCTTAATGGCCTGGCCAAAGAGGGCTGGGATGTGTAGGACATCGGAGACCTGCATGTTTCCTAGAGCTGCTGCACAGAATGCCGTATGTCTTCTGGGAGATGATTGTGAAGAAGGATTTATTGGATCACAGAAATATCAGTGTTAACATAGGAAATCCCATGTTCCCATTACAATGGCTCTGCATAATAAAACAGAGAAGGATGCTTCATAATAGTCATTTCCACTCAGAAAATCACTTTAATTATAGGGCTGTGAGGTCATTCTCCCCAGTGCAGCTGCCAGATGCCTCTTTCTTATAAGAAACCAGCTGCTGGTGTCAGGAGTCATAGTGGGTGAGGAGAAAACAGACTCCTTGCTAGGGGTCCACAGCAGGAAGCAGGTAGGCCTAGGTAGGTGTGAAAGTGGGGAGGAAGGTAAAACAAGGCATCGAGTCAGCAAAGGGACCCAGTGAACACACCAGGAGTCAGGGCCTGGGGAGCCAGGAACCAGGTAGGGTGGAGGGTCCCGCATTCACAGTGCTTCTCAGTAGTAAGACCTGAAGCAGGACCATAGCAACTTCAAGTGGGTGCTTGACTCTATTATACAGTGTAAACAAGTGCAGCCTCCACTTTAGTATCTAGCACCTAGTAGGTACTCAATAAATGTTCACTGAATGCATGAGTAAATGCATGCATATATAAATAAATGGATTTAGTGGTGGGCTTCTAGACTTTTCTAATCACCAAGTACCTCAAAGTTCAGAAAGAAAGAATAACACCTTGCTTAAGTAGGCATAGATGGTTATTGAAGGTCAAATATCCAGAACAGCCCTCAGAAATTTTCCAGCATGTCTTTTGACAGTTTGTCCAACAGAATCAGGGTTAGAAGCGACTGTTACTTCCTCTTCCTTTAAAACAACTAATAATTGCTTACTAGGTGCCAGGTGCTGGTCTCAACATTTAATGCATTTTAACTCAGTCCTTGCAACAGTTGCCAGAACCTTGCTCTGAGCTCCTCCATTCTAAAACCAGGAAAGCTCCAGAAAACAGGGCAGAGCTGGTTGCTCTGTGTACACTATACAGGGGGAAAAGATGAGGCCATTAACTGTGCTTGGGACAGGTTGTGTGGTTTGTGTTTTTCAATGGCCTGATGGCTGCTCCTCACCCTACCCTGCTCCCATTCCCTCCTGGGGAGTGAGGACTGCAGCGAATCTGCAGGAGGAGCAGGACTTGGCCACACAAAGGACTGAAGTGGGAGAGGGTAACACAGAGGATGGCAAGGTGCTGGCTATGTGTGGGTGGGGAAGCAGTCACCCCTCACTTCTGCTGGGACTCCAGAGGGATGGGGAAGTACAGTGTGAGGCGGCTGAGGAGGGGTCAGATCACTCAGGGCCTTGAGAGTGATGGGGCAGCAGTCTCCTGGGGCCGGGCTGTTTTGAGTTTGGGCATTTACTTTGAAGCTGCAGAACAAGCCTCTGTCTCTTCTTAGAATGCAGGTTTCTTTGGAGGCCTTGGGGAGGGACTGCTGAAGAATATGGAAAGTCTGAAACTGCTCCCAAGTCCCACCTTTATAGAACAATTTCCTAAACTTCCTACAGCCTTCAGGGGAACACTTGTGTCTGCATAATGTTAATAATACCACCTAAGAAGAAAAATGCTCAGCAGTGCAATGAGTTGGAGAATGCCAGGGTACACAGAGTCCAACAGGTGTCTTTGGTTACTTGCTGCGGCTGCTTTTTCTTTCTTTTTAAATTGTAGATGTTTCCTAGTTATTAATAAGCTGCTGAGAAGTGTGGATCTCAAAGAAGGTCACAGAGCACACAGCACCTCCCAAACTTGGTTGTTCTCGTGACACAGTTTGCAGTCACAGCCATGTCCCGTGGGGATCCACTTGCTCACGGTTCAAAGCAAGGCAAAGGCAGGCTCAAGTTTCCTTGAGGATGGAGGGTTGGGGGGCATGGACCCAGGGCAGAAAATAATGTGGGATGAGGGAGATGGTGGAGAAGTGTAAGTAGCCTGGTCCGTCTACCCTCATCCCACCTCCACCCTCAACCTCCCTCACCAAAACTGCTGTCTCTCCAGCCCCTGAGTTCCTGTGAGTCAATAGCCCTGAGGAAGGCTGATAAATATATACACAGATATGTATGATGTACATATGTATATATATTTACCCAGGGCTAGACTCCTCCATTTCACATTCAAAACCACCTCCTAAGGAGAGAAAAAATGGCCACAGCCCCCCCGCCCAAGTCCTTAGGTCAGTTCTCCCTGGATGTTTTCACCAAGGTGCCCCACCCTGGCTGCTTGAAGGGGTCTGTGATGACAGCTCACCTGCAGTGATAGAAGTGTACATTGTGGTGGGGCTCTGCGATGAGACCTCACCTTCAGTGGTGGTGATGTCCATTGTGGTGGAGGCGGAGGTCACCCCTGGATAAGGCCCTGTGAACAGAGGACAAGAATCTGAGGTCAGACAGGAGGACTCTCCATGCCTAGCAGCACCTTGGCCCAAGCTGTATCCTTTGTTCAGGTGTGAGCAGCTCTGTGAATGGGCCCAAGTGGACAGGAGCAGTGTGGTGCAACCAATGACTCTTAGCAGGGGTGCACAGCCCAGGAACCAGGTTCTGGTTGGTCACTGACTGGGATGGAACTGTTTGAACCTGAAGTACCAGGTCACTCCAGGCCCATTTGAGTTCTCTGCTGTATGCCTGTACTGAGGGTGGTGGCTCCACCTGGTAGATGCTCAACAGTTATCTGTGGTGTGTATGAAGGCAGGGACTCTTGTTGTGTTTGTGACAGAACATTTGTGGAGTATCTGATGCTTACACCAGGTGTCTGAGTCCATTTTGTGATGCTATATCTGAATTCTTGGGTAATTTATAAAGAAGAGAGGTTTATTTGGCTCACAGTTCTAGTGGCTGGGAAGTCCAAATTGGGCAGCTGCATCTGTTGAGGGCCTCATACTGCTCCCCCTCGTGGCAAAAAGCAGAAGGGGAGCAGACATTTGTAAAGAGACCTCAAGGTGATATGAAAAGCAAGAGAGTTTACAAAGGTGAATTTGCTTTTATAATAACCTGCTCTCAGGTAACCTATCCAGTCTCGTGACAGAAGGAACTCCCTCCCTCCCTCAAAGGGCTATTAGTCTCTGCATGAGGGATTGGCCTCGATGACCCAAATATCTCCCACCAGGTCCCACCTCCCATCACGGCCACATTGGGAATCAAATTTCAACATGAGCTTTTGCAGGGTCAAACCACATCCAAACCATAGCACCAGGTGTTGCTTTAGTTGTCTTCTATCTACTGTATCATGCAGTCTTCACAGCCATCCTATGAGGTGCCTGGTGTTGTTGGCCCATGTCACAGGAAGAACACCAAGGCTCAGAGATGTGATGTGCCCATGATCACACAGCTCATTCAGTGTCAGGTCAGGACTTAGCCAGTGCTCTTGCCTCTGGAGTACACGTTCTCTCTTGGAGAAGCCCTTCCCGGGGCTCCTGTCTGAGGAGTCTTTCCTGAAGCCCTCCCTTAGGTCTTTCCATTGACTGTCCTGTGGGAAGGACCAGTCTATGACACTATCCCAGTTAGTGTGTGTGTTTTTTCACAGCTTAATGGCCTGGCCAAAGAGGGCTGGGATGTGTAGGACATCGGAGACCTGCATGTTTCCTAGAGTTGCTGCACAGAATGCCTTCTCTCCTCTGGGAGATGACTGTGAAGAAGGATTTGTTGGATCACAGGAATATCAGTGTTAACATAGGAAATCACATGTTCCCATTACAATGGCTCTGCATAATAAAACAGAGAAGGATGCTTCATAATAGTCATTTCCACTCAGAAAATCACTTTAATTATAGTGTTTTGAGGTCATTCTCCCCAGTGCAGTTGCCTGATGCCTCTTCCTTTCCTTTCCTTTCCTTTCCTTTCCTTTCCTTTCCCTTTCCCTTTCCTTTCCTTTCCTTCTCTCTCTCTCTCTTTCTTTCCCTCCCTTCCTTCCTTCCTTTCTTCCTTCCTTCCTTCCTTCCTTCCTTCCTTCCTTCCTTCCTTCCTTCCTGTCTTCTTTTCTTTCTTTCTTTCTTTTTTTTCACTCTCTTATAAGAAAGCAGCTGCTGGTGTCAGGAGTCATAGTGGGTGAGGGGAAAACAGACTTCCCAGCTAGGGGTCCACAGCAGGAAGCAGGTGGGCCAAGCTAGGGGTGTCTGGGACCAACAAGGAGCTTAGAGGTGGGGAAAAAGATAATATAAGGCATCAAGTCAGCATAGGGACCCAGTGAACACACCAGGAGTCAGGGCCTGGGGAGCCAGGAACCAGGTAGGGTGCAGGGTCCAGCATTCACAGTGCTTCTCAGTAGCAAGACCTAAAGCAGGACCATAGCAACTTCAAGTGGGTGCTGGACTTTGTTATACAGTGTGGACAAGTGCAGCCTCCAATTTAGTATCTAGCACCTAGTAGGTACTCAATTCAGTGAACATGAATGCATGAGTAAATGCATGCATATTTAAATAAATGGATTTAGTGGTGGGCTTCTAGACTTTTCCAATCACCAAGCACCTCAAAGTTCAGAAAGAAAGAATAACAGTTTGCTTAAGTAGACATGGATGGTTATAGAAGCTCAAATACCCAGAACGGCCCTCAGAAATTTTCTGGGTGAAGACAGCATTTCTTATGACAGTTTGTCCAACAGAATCAGGGTTAGAAGAGACTGTTACTTCCTCTTCCTTTAAAACAACTAATAATTGCTTACTAGGTGCCAGGTGCTGGTCTCAACATTTAATGCATTTTAACTCAGTCCTTGCAACAGTTGCCAGAACCTTGCTCTGAGCTCCTCCATTCTAAAACCAGGAAAGCTCCAGAAAACAGGGCAGAGCTGGTTGCTCTGTGTATACTATACAGGGGGAAAAGATGAGGCCATTAACTGTGCTTGGGACAGGTTGTGTGGTTTGTGTTTTTCAATGGCCTGATGGCTGCTCCTCACCCTACCCTGCTCCCATTCCCTCCTGGGGAGTGAGGACTGCAGCGAATCTGCAGGAGGAGCAGGACTTGGCCACACAAAGGACTGAAGTGGGCGAGGGTAACGCAGAGGATGGCAAGGTGCTGGCTATGTGTGGGTGGGGGAGCAGTCACCCCTCACTTCTGCTGGGACTCCAGAGGGATGGGGAAGTACAGTGTGAGGCGACTGAGGAGGGGTCAGATCACTCAGGGCCTTGAGAGTGATAGAGCAGCAGTCTCATGGGGCCAGGCTGTTTTGAGTTTGGGCATTTACTTTGAAGCTGCAGAACAAGCCTCTGTCTCTTCTTAGAATGCAGGTTTCTTTGGAGGCCTTGGGGAGGGACTGCTGAAGAATATGGAAAGTCTGAAACTGCTCCCAAGTCCCACCTTTATAGAACAATTTCCTAAACTTCCTACAGCCTTCAGGGGAACACTTGTGTCTGCATAATGTTAATAATACCACCTAAGAAGAAAAATGCTCAGCAGTGCAATGAGTTGGAGAATGCCAGGGTACACAGAGTCCAACAGGTGTCTTTGGTTACTTGCTGCTGCTGCTTTTTCTTTCTTTTTAAATTGTAGATGTTTCCTAGTTATTAATAAGCTGCTGAGAAGTGTGGATCTCAAAGAAGGTCACAGAGCACACAGCACCTCCCAAACTTGGTTGTTCTCGTGACACAGTTTGCAGTCACAGCCATGTCCCGTGGGGATCCACTTGCTCATGGTTCAAAGCAAGGCAAAGGCAGGCTCAAGTTTCCTTGAGAATGGAGAGTTGGGGTACATGGACCCAGGGCAGAAAATAATGTGGGATGAGGGAGATGGTGGAGAAGTGTAAGTAGCCTGGTCCGTCTACCCTCATCCCACCTCCACCCTCAACCTCCCTCACCAAAACTGCTGTCTCTCCAGCCCCTGAGTTCCTGTGAGTCAGTAGCCCTGAGGAAGGCTGATAAATATATACACAGATATGTATGATGTACATATGTATATATATTCACCCAGGGCTAGACTCCTCCATTTCACATTCAAAACCACCTCCTAAGGAGAGGAAAAATGGCCACAGCCACCCCTGCCGAAGTCCTTAGGTCAGTTCTCCCTGGATGTTTTCACCAAGGTGCCCCACCCTGGCTGCTTGATGGGGTCTGTGATGACAGCTCACCTGCAGTGATAGAAGTGTACATTGTGGTGGGGCTGTGCGATGAGAGCTCACTGTCAATGGTGGTAATGTCCATTGTGGTGGAGGCGGAGGTCACCCCTGGATAAGGCCCTGTGAACAGAGGACAAGAATCTGAGGTCAGACAGGAGGACTCTCCATGCCTAGCAGCACCTTGGCCCAAGCTGCATCCTTTGTTCAGGTGTGAGCAGCTCTGTGAATGGGCCCAAGTGGACAGGAGCAGTGTGATGCAACCAATGACTCTTAGCAGAGGTGCACAGCCCAGGAACCAGGTTCTGGTTGGTCACTGACTGGGATGGAACTGTTTGAACCTGAAGTACCATGTCACTCCAGGCCCATTTGAGTTCTCTGCTGTATGCCTGTACTGAGGGTGGTGGCTTCACCTGGTAGATGCTCAACAGTATCTGTGGTGTGTATGAAGGCAGGGACTCTTGTTGTGTTTGTGACAGAAAGTTTGTGGAGTATCTGATGCTTACACCAGGTGTCTGAGTCCATTTTGTGATGCTATATCTGAATTCTTGGGTAATTTATAAAGAAGAGAGGTTTATTTGGCTCACAGTTCTAGTGGCTGGGAAGTCCAAATTGGGCAGCTGCATCTGTTGAGGGCCTCATACTGCTCCCCCTCGTGGCAAAAAGCAGAAGGGGAGCAGACATTTGTAAAGAGACCACAAGGTGATAGAGAAAGCAAGAGAGTTTACAAAGGTGAATTTGCTTTTATAATAACTTGCTCTGAGGTAACCTATCCAGTCTCGTGACAGAAGGAACTCCTTCCCTCCCTCAAAGGGCTATTAGTCTATGCATGAGGGATTGGCCTCGATGACCCAAATATCTCCCACCAGGTCCCACCTCCCATCACTGCCACATTGGGAATCAAATTTCAACATGAGCTTTTGCAGGGTCAAACCACATCCAAACCACAGCATCAGGTGTTGCTTTAGTTGTCTTCTATTTACTGTATCATGCAGTCTTCACAGCCATCCTATGAGGTGCCTGGTGTTGTTGGCCCATGTCACAGGAAGAACACCAAGGCTCAGAGATGTGATGTGCCCATGATCACACAGCTCATTCAGTGTCAGGTCAGGACTTAGCCAGTGCTCTTGCCTCTGGAGTGGACGTTCTCTCTTGGAGAATCCCTTCCCAGGGCTCCTGTCTGAGAAGTCGTTCCAGAAGCCCTCCCATAGGTCTTTCCATTGACTGTCCTGTGGGAAGGACCAGTCTATGACACTATCCAAGTTACTGTGTGCGTTTTTTCACGGCTTAATGGCCTGGCCAAAGAGGGCTGGGATGTGTAGGACATCGGAGACCTGCATGTTTCCTAGAGCTGCTGCACAGAATGCCTTCTCTCCTCTGGGAGATGATTGTGAAGAAGGATTTATTGGATCACAGAAATATCAGTGTTAATATAGGAAATCCCATGTTCCCATTACAATGGCTCTGCATAATAAAACAGAGAAGGATGCTTCATAATAGTCATTTCCACTCAGAAAATCACTTTAATTATAGTGTTGTGAGGTCATTCTCCCCAGTGCAGCTGCCAGATGCCTCTTTCTTATAAGAAACCAGCTGCTGGTGTCAGGAGTCATAGTGGGTGAGGGGAGAACAGACTCCTTGCTAGGGGTCCACAGTAGGAAGCAGGTGGGCCAAGCTAGGGGTGTCCGGGGCCAGCAAGGAGCTTAGAGGTGGGGAAGAAGATAATACAAGGCATCAAGTCAGCAAAGGAACCCAGTGAACTCGCTAGGAGTCACGGCCTGGGGAGCCAGGAACCAGGTAGGGTGGAGGGTCCAGTATTCACAGTGCTTCTCAGTAGCAAGACCTGAAGCAGGACCATAGCAAGTTCAGGTGGGTGCTGGACTTTATTATACAGTGTGAACAAGTGCAGCCTCCAATTTAGTATGTAACAGGTAGTAGGTATCAGTAAATATTTACTGAATGCATGAGTAAATGTATGCATATATAAATGAATGGATTCAGTGGTGGGGTTCTAGACTTTTCCAATCACCAAGCACCTCAAGGTTCAGAAAGAAAGAATAATACCTTGTTTAAGTAGACATGGATGGTTACAGAAGCTCAAATACCCAGAACTGCCCTCAGAAATTTTCCAGGTAAAGACAGCATTTCTTATGACAGTTTGTCCGACAGAATCAGGGTTAGAAGAGACTGTTATTTCCTCTTCCTTTAAAACAAGTAATACTTTCATACTAAGTGCCAGGTTCTGCTCTCAACATTTAATGTATTTTAACTCAGTCCTTCCAACAGTTCCAATCCATAGGAGTTATTATTAGCCCCATTTTACAGATTTGGCAGCTGAGTGCCAGAAAAGTGTTATTCTCCCCGGCTTGTACAGCTACCTTGAGAGTCAGAAGTCAGTGATTTGAAGCCCTGGCAGCTTTGAGTCAGTGTGTTTTGTCTTGTAGTGCACTGCCAAGTGGAGAGCCTTGGTAAGCTGCTCTCCATTTGGCTTGAACGACTTGGGGTGCATTTCTTGGCTTGTTGTTAGGGACCTTGTACCCACATCTGTATGCCGGGAGACTATACACACTTTCAGCAGGCCAGCCAGGCTGGGGGATGGGTGGGGCCTGAGACCTCTGGGACATTGCCACTTGGGCCTCCCAATGTGGGCTCCCTCCATGCTCATGCCCACTAAGAAGCATGCTGGGCAGGAAAGTCCCTCAGCTGGAACTACTCCCTCCATGCCCCATGTCCTCCAAGTGTGCGGAGCTTGATTTCCACATGTCTCCCGATGTGACAGACTCCAGGGAAGTGGCACTTCAGCCGGACCAGAGCTGCCCTATAGTAGTAGATCATCGTCAGCATAGAGAGGAAGCTCGAAGCTGTCTGGGAAGGTGCAGATGCTGTGAGACAGTGGTTCTCAAAGCGTAGTCTCTGAACACACAGCATCCTCTGGGAGCCTGTTAGAAATAGAAATTCTCAGGCCCCAGCCCAGACCTGCTGAAGAAAAGCACTAGGACTGGGTCCCAGTAATTACTATAGTAGATTCTGATGCATGCTCTAGGCTGGGAAGTGCTGGTGTAAGGAGGGCTTCCGGAAGCGGTGACATCAGGCTTGGTCCTTTAAGGACAAATAGGACTTTGCTGCACAAAGCATATAAGCCTTCCAGGCAGAGAGCTCAGCATCTAAGGCAGCTCTCCCCACTTCTCAGCTTTCTCCCCAGTGTCTGCTTGCCATCCACGGCTCCAAGGCTCCGGAAGCTTCTGGAGATGGCGGGGTGAGAGTCCCCCTCGGTGCCCTCCTTTGCCCTGTGCTCATTCAGCTAGCATCAGTGATATGAGGTCTTTGGAGAAGGCTGGCTGAGTGAGCTCAGGTCCTACCCAGAAAGTAGGTGGTTGTCTGCATCCAGCTTAAGGGGCCTGGAATGAAAGCCTGCCCCTTGCTGGAGCTGAGGGATGCTTCTGAGGTTGGGATTAGGTTCATGCTGAGCTCAGCAACTAGGATAAGGGTGATCTGCGGGCAGCCTTGGGGGTGCGTTTATGGCAGAATAAGGTGTTAATTACGGCCAAGCTTGGGTCTGGTATCAGAAATAGACAATTACCCAGCACAGCGATTGGACAGACATGAGAGGACCCATTTTTTGGAAAGACCCAAGCATCCTACTTTTTTTCTTCCGAGCCCTCCTCCAGGTTGCAAGGTCCCCTGCTGCCCCCTGCAACACCCCTGCCAGACAGGAAGCTCCACACGTTCGGGCTTGTGTTGCTCACAATTCTATACTCAGCTTTGTACTGGGTGCCTGGCACTGAATGACAACTGCTGAACATTTGAAAGCCTTCTGGGGAACCACGAACCAACCAAACTGCAGCCTTCACTATGCTCATCTTTGTGGAGCTGGGAATGGGTTTTCATCCAGAGAATTTGCCATTGGCTGCAGTCATCCCTATCAACTCTCTATGTCCTCAGGATGTCAGCTGTCTATTCTCTGGCGGAAGGCAGCCATCCCTGGAGGCAGTGGGGCACACATGCACAACCCTGCAGTGCGGGCAGTGTGCTCTGTGCTTCAGTTGGCAGCTTGAGTGCAGCTATTGGGGTGAAGGACCTCAGCTGCAATGGATTCTTAGGGGGCAGTGGTGTTTTTCCGACGTGGATGGAGAGCAGGGGTCAGGTGCTAGCCCTGAGGATGGAAGTCATGCTCCTTTGTTGCCACCAAGAGCCTCTCTTCTCTTGCATTTTCAGATGACACTGTGCTAAAAAGTTATTTTTTTTCCCGCATGGGCTGGTCTTTACATTTCCGGGCCCAACTCCCATGGCTCCCCTCTGCCATAGGAGTTGAAGGAGTTCCCCACTTCCTGTCTTCCACTGTCCATCTGGTCCAGCAAAGAAAGAAGAATTCAGGCACAGGGTGAGGGCTTGAAGGAGGGGAGTGAGAGTGAGGATGGCTTCAGACTAGAACCCCCAAGTGTTCTGGGAGGAGGAAGATGATCTCAGCCTCAACATCATGACAGGAAATGTAGGTTTTTCATGGGGGACTTGGAGACTTCCTGCAATGACAAACCTTGTTGGTGACAGTGATGCAGCAGCAATGGCAGCGTCGACTGCTTGACAGTTGGCCAGGTGCTGTGCCAGTTACCCAGAGTGTTCAATTGAGAGGAACTTATGGGCCTGGTTAGAAAAGTCAGTTTACCAGGCTGGGTGCAGTGACTCACGCCTGTAATCCCAACTTTGGGAGGCTGAGGTGGGTGGAACACCTTAGGTCAGGAGTTCAAGGCCAGCCTGACCAACATGGTGAAACCCCGTCTCTACTAAAAATACAAAAATTAGTTGGGCATGGGCAGGTGCCTGCAATCCCAGCTACTCTGGAGTCTAAGGCAGGAGAATCACTTGAACCTGGGAGGTCGAGGTTGTAGGGAGCTGAGATCGCAACATTGCACTCCAGCCTGGTCGACAGAGTGAGAATCCCTCTCAAAAAAAAAAAAAAGAAAAGTCAATTTACCAAGCACTCTGAAGCAGCAAGGCTTTGTGCAAGTCTGATTTGGGGTTCAAGAGCCGGACAGCTATGGGGGAAGGAAGAGTAACCTTTAGGGGCGTGGAAAGTGCTTCGCAGCTAGCAGTGTGGTTTTTCTTCCTGCTCTGGATTCCTCAGC